TTTTTCCCATCCCCTTCGCCGGCGTCTTCGGTAACTCCTTTTTTTTCCCTCTCGGTTCGTGTCACTTTCTTTCCTTATCTATTTTTCCTATCTTGTTATGGAATTTCCTTTTTACTCTCTTCTTTAATCTGGCTTATACACCGCCAATCATCCCCCGCCTCCTCTACCTCCTTGTTCCTTTATCCCTCCACCCGGTACAATTTATCAGGTTATGTCGGCGGTCCGACGTCTCGCGGCGCACTGGTTCTTGAAGTTGATGATGTTCCACAGCAACACTATCGCATCAACACATCCATCATCAAGTGCGGTCGATGATTTGCCGGTGGTGGAGTAGTAGGAGGAGGAGGAGGAGGAGGAGGAGGAGGAGGAGGAGGAGGAGGAGGAGGAGGAGGAGGAGAATGGTGAAGGGAGAGGTGGGTGGTCGGTGAGAAGCTGTGCAGATTGGGGCAGGAAGCACGGCTAAGCACACACACACACACACACACACTCTCTCTCTTGGTATGCCAAAGTTTACGAAGACAAGAAGGACAAGAAGAACAAAGGCAAGGGCAAGAACACCAACAGCAACACCAACAGCACCACCGAACACCACCTCCAACAACAACGACAGCCGACTGACCGCATTCTGAGGCAGATCCACCGACGAGCTGGAAGTACTGCTGGGCGAGCTTGAGGTGGTCGCTCGAGTCCTGCTCCTGCCCAATGCACGCATTCACTACGCCCTTCAGGATGTACTCCTGGTATGGGGGCAGGCAGAGGATGGGAGTGGTGGAGCGTCATTGTATGAGACAGGTATTGCGAGAGTGCAAGAGGAAAAAGAAGCACATGCACACGTGTCGACAGCAGTGCCCTCACAACTCATGCCCATGGACAGAGTCATTATCACAGACACACGCACACAGACACAAACAGGTACACAAATGCACAAGGAGACAACCCCCTCACCCACTCACACACACACTCTCCCTCCCTCACACACACACACACACACACACACACACACACACACACACACACACACACACACACACACACTCACACACTCACTCCCACACTCCCTCTTTCACCCTCTCGCTATCCTCTCTGCCGCGTACCGGCGGGGTGCTGGGCTCCATGTCCTTCACGAGCTTGAACGCTTCGTCGAGGTCGTTTTGGCGGAGGAAGAAGATAACGAGGTTCAGCCGCGCCTCGGGGATAACATCCAGCAGCTTGCTCCACACCTGCAGCCACAGGGGAGGTGCAAAGGGGGGAGGGGGAGGAGGAGGAGGAGAGCACATGAGGCCGATCATCAGCAGCTTATACACAAGAACAATCATACGTGTGCTGTTTTCTATTCGCACACATTTCACTTCCCATGTCCATTCCATAAAAATCCTTCACAAGCACATGTGTGTGTTTGTGTGTGTGTGTGTGTGTGTGTGTGTGTGTGTGTGTGTGTGTGTGTGTGTGTGTGTGTGTTCTGACCTGCAGTGCGCCTTCGCCGTCCCGGAAGACAACCTGCAACGCCAGAATAGCAGCGAGCAGCTCGTGTGTGAGGCGTTGAGAGGCAATGCAATCCATCACGCAAAGACGTAGAGGCACGGGCGCAGGCGTGCTCGTATCAACAGTTGTTCGAACAAAGTCACACAGACACACACAAACACAGATACACACACACACACACGCGCACGCACACACACGCACACAGATACACGCGCACACACAGAGATACACGCAATGGCACAGGCCCAAGCAGCAATCACTGAACGCACGAGATTGTGCTTGATGAGGTCCTGTGCAAACTCAAACGAGAGCGACGCCTTCTCCTTGAGTGTCATCAGCTCTTGCTCGGCTGCCTTGCCGTTGTACAGCCGGAAGTGGTTGCACGCCTACAATGGCACAAGCACGCACACACACACACACACAGACACACACAAACAAACACATACACAGACATTCACACAGACATTCACATGCACATGCACACACAAACACAAGCACCACACAGCAGTTAAGTTCCAGGTGTGGAAGCGTTTTCAACCAATGGCTGCGTTATCTGTTCATCACAATCGCTCCATCAACACAGCTGCCACCTCTGTTCCCTTCTCCCCCCCAAACGCACGGACTTGCAGGCAACATGCGTGGTGTGCCTCCTCGCCCCACCCACCTTGAGGTTGAGGGCGATGGCCGAGTCTGGGAAGCTCATGAGGTAGACGTTGATAATCTCTTGGGACACGTCGTAGTAGTCCAGCTTGTAGTAGCACAGCGCAATGTAGGCGTTGAGCGCAACCATGTTCGTGTCCTCCAGCACAATGCGCTTGTATGTGTCGATGGCCTCCTGGTAGTGGCTGCGCATGTAGTGGATGGACGCAAGCGACATCTGTACCCGGGCGCATGTGGAAACAACACAGTGTTGGTGTACGTCAGCACAAGAGACGTGGTGCAGCAGAGACTAACAGCACGCACATGCGTAAAATAAGGCTCACGCCTCACAACACACACACAAAACGCAGTGATTTCTTGTCTCGCAGCTTGCGCTGTCTGTATACACGCGCATCCCAACGGCACCAGTCGGCCCCACCTTGTCTTCCATGATGTCTTGCAGCTGCTGATGGTATGTCATCAACCGCTTGTCGTCTCCAAACTGTCGAAGCGGCGGGGAGCACAGGCGGTATTGGGCATGGACGAGGGCAAGGGGGGAGGGGAGCGGCAGCGTGTGCCACATGTATGCGCGTGAGTGAGCGAGTGAGTGATCGTATTTGAGTGTATGTGTGTAGGTGTGGATGGAATGCGAGTTGTGGTCTGTGGTCAATGTACAATGGCGGCGACAAGCGGCTGCAGCACCGATTATGAGCCGTGTCCCACTCACCTTGTGTGCGAGGTGAAAGAGAAGGCGGTTCTTGAGAGCACACTGTGGCCCCTTTTGCGCAGCCGCGTCTGCTTCCTCGTACATGCCCAGGAAGAAGCAGCAGCAGGCAAGGTACAGCCATATTCTCTCCGAGCTGCCCTCCGAAGCCAACAGCTTCTTGTACGTCTGCACAGCAGCGTCAAACAGCGCATCAGATTGTTGTTGTTGTTGTTGTGGTTGTCGTTGTTGTTGTTGTTGTTCGAAATCGCACGGAAGAAGTGACAGCAACGCAAGTGCGAGAGGGGAGAGCAAAGAACATGCACATCAGCCAAACAGGTCGCACCCAAAGGTCAAGATGCACACGTGTACTGACCTGAAGGGCGCGGCGATAGTCGCCAAGATGAAAAGCACAGTAGGCAATCCACTCATCCTGCGCATCAATGGGCTTCCCTGAACCATCCATGAACTGAGAGCATGTGCCCAAGCAGTCAGTGCGGTCGGGGGGGGGGGGGCGAGGAAACAGAAGGAGGGAAAGAGAATTCGTTTCAATTGTGCACAGCCAAGGGACGCGACACACCGAGGTGAGCAACACCTCAAGATGACGCCAACAAATGTAAACACACAGACACCCACCCACACCCACCCACACACACACACACACACCTCGAGCAAGGTGAGAGCGCCAACGTAGTCGCGCTTCTGAAGAAAATCTTCGAGCTTCGGCAGCTCCTTCTTCTTGGTGGAGCGAGACCTCGACATGGCCTGCTCATCCCGCGACTCCGCGGGCTTGGATCGGGACAGAATCTGGGCGTGCATCCACATAACAGGAGCAAGTGTCAGCACACACGTACACAGAGGAGAGCAAACCGATGACGGAAGAAGAGAAGGAAGCAAACACAACCACAGGCGAACACACACACACACACACAGCTAACCATAGAGACACAGAGAGGAGAGAGAGAGAGAGAGAGAGAGAGAGAGAGAGAGAGAGAGAGAGAGAGAGAGAGAGAGAGAGAGAGAGAGAG